TTAAATTATGGGAGCCATGCTCTGCAAAAGACAGGATATAAAATAACTAAATTGAAATGTATATTCTTTAAGGGAAAAGAAATATACACTTTCCTTTACATAACGCCATATAACAAAATTTATAAGATTTTCTGTTCATGGTTTGAAAGTGTTATTTTCTGATTAATTGTGCAGTACTTATTTTGAAAGTCATTGTTTTGCTCCAGAAACTTTGTTTGTATGTCTGCCACAAACTATGTTGAATATTTTCAGATATTCATTGAAAAACGGTAGTAAATGTGCTGCAGGATGTCCTGCAAAAACAAAGTTTTTGCAATTTAATAAACTTTTTTTCTGTGTTTTTTATGATCGAACCCATTAGGAAATGACATTTATAACCCATGAACAAAAATCGTGTTACATAGTGTAATGGTTCACTTTTACATCTTGTGACAACTAAAATGAAAACAGATGAGTCCATTCTAAATACCATTAGGACCGTGACATATAAGAAGGTGGTGATAAAACATAGACATCTCCTAATCTATCTTTTTAATTCTTCATTATTTCTGGTATGTTTGGCCAAGGACCAGTTTTCTATTTTTGCAGGTATAAAGATGAAGACAAGTCTCTGGATTTTCCTCAGTGTCATTTTGGTCAAGGGATACATAGGGCTGAAGTGCCAAAAGGGTTAAGCGTCAATTGCTTCCAATTAAAGCAGCTTCTTACTTCGCTTGATCTGAATTAAAATTAACCCCAGGTTGGTTGAAAAAGTGTGAGCTCATGCTCAACCCATTTGGGGATTGGCAGATGAGAAGGGAGGGCAACAGGCATTATCAAACTGGTTCCAATTTTCAGAATTAGGTAGAACAGTAGCAGGTGTCACGTATTTCGTTTGCTTTTAAAGCAGTCAGAAAATACAAACCAGATCACTATCAGACAATTCCCTGCATTCTTCCTTCTAATCTTTAAGCGGTCTTCAGAGAAGTCAACATAGTATTTACTACATAGCTGAAAACCCAAACGTATCTTATAAAATATACTAATCACAAGGCAGCCTGTAGCGTCTGGTAATTAAGCAAATCAAGATAATCCCCCTGAGTTTTGGAACCAGCTCCTTACCCCAGCTGTTACATTGTCAACAGCTGGCATGAATTACTAGTAACATTTGGCTAACTGGATAATAAGGAGGACAGTCTGTGGTTGGTCCCAATTCTACTTTACTGATCTGCTTCACAAAAGAATCTTCTTAAGATTCTCTTATTCCCTTCTGAAGTAATGACAATACCTCAAAGACCAGTCTGGGTTTCACATCACTATAATGTGAGAACAATGTTAATTACACAGTTCTTTGAAGTTAATGTTTACAGAGTTGCACTTAGCTAAGCCCCAATATCCTGTAATCCAATCAACAACCATTATATATCCTATTCTCCACCAGAAGCAAAGAGATTTATAAAACCACATGGCAAATTTAGGTATGTTAGGGCGCTTTGTAATTTGCACCAGAAGCCTATAGCAACCCAGACCAGGCCTGACAAAAAGGAGCAGCTCTATATACACATGCTAATAGGGATATAAGGAAGATGGTTTCAGGATCAAAAGGAGTTCTGTGGGGTTATAAATTGGATTTGTATCCCACGTTTCTCCCAAAAACCAGGATTCAAGGCAGCTTGCAACAAAACTAACAGGAAAAAAAAAGAAGTTGTACGACAAAAAACAATTAAACCAATTATAATATTAAAACACCATGGCCAAGATTATTTTTCTGCATCCAATGCCAGCAGAGTTAAGACTGGGTTGTTTTAAGCTTTTCAGATTATATGACCATGTTCTAGAAGCATTCTCTCCTGACATTTTGCTTGCATCTATGGCAAGTATCCTCAGAGGTCATGAGGTCCTCACAACCTCTGAGGATGCTTGTCATAGGTGCAGGCAAAATGTCAGGAAAGAATCCTTCTAGAACATGGCCCCTGGTGGTGCAGTGGGTTAAACCCCTGTGCCGGCAGGACTGAAGACCGACAGGTCGCAGGTTCGAATCCGGGGAGAGGCGGATGAGCTCCCTCTTTCAGCTCCAGCTCTTCAAGCAGGGACATGAGAGAAGCCTCCCACAAAGATGATAAAACATCAAATCATCCGGGCGTCCCCTGGGCAACGTCCTTGCAGACAGCCAATTCTCTCACACCAGAAGCGACTTGCAGTTTCTCAAGTCGCTCCTGACACGACAAAAAAAATTGCCATATAGCCTGAAAAACGTACAAGAACCCAGTGATTCCAGCCATGAAAGCTTTCGACAATACAGAGTTAAGACTTTCTGTTTCATCTCCTGATACAGCACTTCACCCGATTCATAGCAGAAAACCTAAGGCCCTTCCACACAGCCATATAATCCACAATATCTGTTTTGAACCAAGTTATTTGAGTCCGCACTGCCATATATTCCAGTTCAAAGCAGATGTTGTGGGGTTTTATTCGGCTGTGTGTAAGGCATCCTAGAGAACTGTTCTCTCTGACTTTAGGTCTTCCGGTGCAACTTGGTGGGCCACTTTTGGTGGAATTTGATCACAGAATCACCCTGGAAACCCTAGAGATTCTCAGAAAGAACATATTAATCAAATCTGTAAATAAGCAAATCTACAAAGGTTAAACCTGCAAGTGTGAAGGACCACTGCATAACATATGTATGCTAAGTTTTGATTTCTAACTTGGATTTATACTAAGCATTATGTTAAAAAGTTCAGACCTATATACACTCTGACCACCATTGCTTCTTCCAGCCTTCACTGGCAACTGTGAGGCTAAATAAAGTATAGTGTGACTTGCTTTGCCTCACAGGTGTTGTTTGTCCACAAAAAGCTGATAAGTGGCAAAATTATAAAATGGAATGGTGTATATGTGTCTGAAACCCCGATGTTGGCTAAAAATCTAACATTCCAGGAAGCAAGCAACAAAGGAAAGCTTCGCTACCACGAATCAAAAGACAGTAAGCTCAGCACACTTACTGCATTCTAGTCTTATCAAGACACAGAGTGCAGGAAACAGCGACAGAAGCTGTGAAGAGATAAGGCCGGGGATCACTTTGCAACAATTAAACCTACTCCAGGGCTTCCTACCAGCCACCAGTGGGCTTTTATTGCCCAAATTGTCTGTCTAACCCAGAATGAAAGAGTAGAAGGAAATAAAAGAATTAAATATGAGAATGCAGGTTCTGAGTAGTCATTTCTGTATGGGCCAATACTAATAAGAGGATGCCATGACAGAATTATTATTTTGATCAAGGGAAAAGAGAGAGCTTTAAAAACAGAAAATAGAGGCATTTGGTCGGAGACAAAGGCAGGAAGTGTTGTCCTTCCTTTATCCTAGTAGGTTTTGCATCTTTAAATAAATAAATAAATTAGACACATTGATCAAGGTAATAGGGAGAGGCCAAAAGGTTATATTCTCCCCACGCAGCAGAGTTATATTCCAACAACAACTCTCCTATATATTGATAAACCTCTTGATATATGGCTTCAGTAGAAAGATAAGATATTTTCAAATTAAAGAATGTTCTGACTTTGCACAATCATTTTGCAATATATTGTTGCCGAGTTGACAAATGAGAAATAATTACATATTTAAGGTACTGCAATGTTACATCTAAAAATATCCAGGCACTCAAGGTGTTCTTACATCTTTGCCTAGTTTTGTGCTCTGTAAGCAGCCCTCTGCTTCTGATACTTATTCTTGTCGTGGGTCTTCAAGACATTATAGCACTTCCATATTGTGAAGAGTGCAAAAAGTCAAGGGTATAATAGCTGAACAGAAAAACTTGACTGTATGCTGCATAAGCAAACATCATTGAGAAAAATGAATTGTTAGCATAACTGAATACAGTGAAACTTGCTGAAGATCACCAAAACAGTAACACTATAAGACCTAGTGAGAATAAGTGTGATGCATTGGCTCGACTTTCACTTGAGGACCAGAAAGACCTGGGTTCAAATCCTTGTTTACAGTCTGACTTGGGAACAATCATTACCTTAGAACTAACTCTAAGCTTTGATTTGAAGGTAAAGGGATAAAAGTGGAGCACATTTGTGTAGAAGTGTTTGTAGGAAGGCTACTATGAACAGAATCAATGGGTAGAACAGAAGTATTCAATTGAGGAAGTTTTTATTAAATCACATAGAAAGTTTTGTTACCATTATAAAGGACTGTGAATCTTGCTTTCAACATATATTTTTACTTTTAATGTATTTACTCAAATCTAACGCCCACCTTTTTTGGCTAAATTACCTTGCCAAAATTAGATTCACATAATTAGGTAATCTTAGTGCCAAGCCAAAGCAAAAGGGGAAGCTGCTTTAGGAGCACCTGTAGGTTCTATTTGAAGGATGTTATCTGGAATTTATTTGTCATAGTTCAATGCTATGTAACCTGGGATTTGTAGTTTGATGAGGCATCCATACTCTTTGACAGAGAAGGCTTGAGGCCTTTTGAAATACAACCCCCATAACCCCATAGCTTTGAGCCAGGGCAGTTAAAGTGATTTCATTCTATAGCATAGATGCCCCCACGGTTTCTTTTCCATTGCTGAAAGCTTTGGTGTGCAACACAATTCTTTCTAAAGAAACAACTCTAAGCAGACAGCAGTTATAATGGGTATATTACAAAGAGTGCAAATTTTGATGCTGCACATTACATTAATAGTTTTGTTTTTGTTTTTTGTTTTTTTGGTTTCAGGGTTTCGAAATCTAAGGTGCACATTAGATTCAATGATGCATTAGACTTGAGTAAACGTGGGTAATTGAATATACCACGTAGATTTGTCACCTCTGTCAAATTTCAAAAGAAAATAAATAAAGGAGACCAGGAATTTCTTCTCATGATTTGTCTCCTGAAAGAATATGTGCACTGTGCTAACCTACTGGTTATAGTGTCAATGGATTTTCTAGGATAATTGCAACATCTAATAAATTGAAGATTATGATTTTGATTCTGTGATTCTGTTGGTTCCTCTATACACAAAGGTTCCTTACCAGCTCTCGAGGAAGGAAGGTTTCTTCTTGGCGAGCAACAATCAGAGAGACAGTATCTCCTTGCTTTGTACTTCTCAGTGTGGCTACAAGCTCTTCTTGGGTTCTGCCAGTGATGTCTCTACCATTCACCTAATGGAAGCCACAAGCAAACAGAAAGGAACCATCAGCAAAATTATCACTTACATATACAGTGATATCTTGAGTTAAGAGTTTAATTCATTTTGTAACTGAGCTCTTGACTTAAATCGTTTCTATGTCAAAGTTAATTTTCCCATTGAAATGTGTTGAAATGCTATTAATCCATTCTGGACCCTCAACCCCCCCCCCCCCCATTTTTTTACGTCTTTTAAAATAAGAAAATGTACTTTATAAATAACAGATAATGTATAAATGCACATTCAAATGGAACTATAAAAAAGAAAGATCAACTATAAAATGCTATAAGCACAAAATAGTAGAAGCACGAAGTTGTGCCAAGAAAGCACAAAGCACAAAGTGAAGAGGCAGAAGCATTTTTTTCTTCATACTAGACTCATTCCAGCCTCTCACCCTCTCTTGCTTTCTCACGTTCTCTCTATTCATGAAGCCAAACATATCAGGAATAAAAACTACACAAAATCAACTAACCCAACGTTCCTCAAAGTGGACAAGAGCGAAGTGGACAGCAATCTCCCAAAGTGGACAAGAGCACGAGGCACAGATGCTGCTCCCTTGAAGCCCTAAAGCCCCGTAGTCTCGCACTAGCACTCCTTCTGGCGTCAGCTCTTAACTCAAAGTGTTACTCTTATGTCAAAGTGAAATGTGGGCTGAGTGATTTTTCTTAACGCAAAACACTCTTAAGTTAAGACACTCTTAAGTAGAAGTTCCACTGTATTAGTTACAAAGTGAGATACAAAATATAAAAGGCAGAGAAAAAGCTGACCTGCCTAGTAAAATGTGGACATAAATGAGGAGGGTTTCACAAATGTAGACACTTCAATGGTTTCTGCATCCTCTAGTCTATATATATGGCATTTCTATCCCGTCTTTCTCAGCCCGTAGGTGACTCAAGGTGGCTTACAAATTGGCAGCAATTTGATGCCCCAACAGTCATAAAATGCAATTAAAAGACATTTAGCACAACATTATAAAAGTCATTTAAAGACCCCATTAGAAACATGTAGTCACCAATGTCTTCCTGTTAAACCCATTTTCCAGTAGCGTTGTCTAGTTCTTCCAGATCCAGACCAAAATTGCTGGGCAGATCTTACCTTCACATGCTTGCTTTGAAACAATTCCCAAGTCTGCAACATAGAGTGCCTGATTTGACTCAGACCTGCCGATTCCTATATGAGGGAGACCAACACACCAACCTCAGAAGCCCTTCTCTGTGACAGTCATTAAGAGAAACGGTCCTTTCAGTGATGGCACTTCATTCTGGAATCCTCTCCTTAGAGAGGATGGCTCAGCATTTAATTTATGACCTCCTTTTTCTAAATCCTTTCAAACCCTAAAAGTTCAAGTCTAAAACCGGCTTAATTTATTTCTCTGTGTCGCTGATAGTTCTTGTTGCTCTGACTTAATTGCCTCCTTATTTTTTAATCAGTGTTGTTGGTTGAATGGAAAAGCATATCAAATTTTATTTTTGTTGTTTATTTGTTCAGTCACTTCCAACACTTCATGACCACATGGACTAGCCAAATTTTATTAATTGGAGGCATACAAATACTGCTAACAAAAGATTCTTACACCCAGCATAGGATGCATCAAGTAGCATTTCTTTTTGAGCTGCTGGAGCCCCTTCCACAAAGCTGAATAAAATCCCACATTATCTGCTTTGAACTGGGATATATGGCAGTGTGGACTCAGACAGTCCAGTTCAAAGAAAAAAAAATGCCTTGATATTCTGGGTTATATGGCTGTATGGAAAGGCCCTAGATTGTAACTAAAGATGAGAAGGTCCCCCCATTTTCTGTTTTTTTTTCCAGGTCTTCCGTTCGCTAACTGTAACAACAACAATTTTTTGGTTGTACAGAAAATTTAAAGCCACTGGATAACAACTTATGAGATAAGCTAGAAAGGAACGGTTGATCAACCTCAAGTATTCTGTCTCCTGATTGTAAACGACCATCTTTAACAGCTGCACCACGTGGCAGAATATTCTTTACAAAGATAGGTCCAGGTCCATGCACTGAAGAGTCTCTGGTAACTACAGTGAAACCAAGTCCTTCGGGACCTAAAGATCAGAGAGAAGAATTATAAGAAGCTGGGATAACTGACAGCAGCAAAAAAAAAGTTATTATCACAAGTATTTATTTTAAGGATTAAATATGTATATTTAAGTGAGTCTGTGTTATATCAAGTATCACTGCTATACTCCAAACACTTCCTTCATTCTAGTGGTGAATTAAGGTCACATTTTCAGCCTCCTCTGAGCAGCTGTTATGCCCTTTTCCTCTCCAGGATTCTTCCAACTATAAAACATCACAGACATCATTTACCTTGTGTTTCCTTTTATACTTTTTCTTAGGAAAAGAACGAAGCAGCTGAATTGACAGTCCCAAACCAATGACACATTATGAATTGAAAGGTCAAAGAGATGGTAAAAATACCTGCAAAGACTCTACAAACCCATACAATAGATGCTATCTTATGAGAAAAAAAGTCCTCCATCTGCAATTCATGATCCCAGAAACCTGGATGCCTGTTAACTGATGTAACCCACTGCCATAAAATTCAGATTATCAAATCAGATAATCCACATTATTCACATTATCTGCTATGAAGTTGATTATATGGATGTACACTGCCATATAATCCAGTTCAAAGCAGATAATCTAGATTTTATGAGGCAGTATAGAAGAGGCCTTACATGTTTTCAGCTAAACTATGTCAAGGTGTGACTAAATTCCCATATACCTACTCTGCAATTCAAGGCCTATAGTGCAATTGCACCAAGAACTGGTTCACTAGGGAACTGCTCACTAAAAGAAACTAAAGAAATCAGTTGAATAAAACAGGATTATTTATGTAAATCTCATTAATATTCAGTAAGCGTCAAGTTAAACCTGATTAATTTGTTACACGAGAAGCATGTTCGTTGACTAAAAACAGAACCACATGGGATGCCGAACTTCTGTACATAAAACCACTTGTGTGCAGTAGCAGCTATTTCAAATACGCTGTCACCACTTTTCTTTCCCAAGCCCTTACATTCATCTGGGATCTGCAAATGAGCTCCCTCATGTTAAATGCTCACCTGGTTCTGTCTTCAAGTGATAAACAAAATGCTTTAACAATGTTTCATTGAAACATAAGGATTCAAACATTTACAGTAGGCCCTTAGGATCCACTGAGGCTTGGTTCCAGGCCCCACGGATACCAAAATCTGTGGATCCTCAAGACCCATTATATGCAACGGTGTAGTATAATTGTATCTTTTATATAAAATGGCAAAATCAAGGTTGGCATTTTAAAAATTCTTTTGGGAATATTTTCAACTATGGATGGTTGAATCTCTGGGTAGAATCTGTGGATATGGGAGGCTGAATGTATAGATCATGCCTGAACATAATGACATACAAATGGTTAACAGCTTATCCTTTACACATTACCTTTCTTGAGATCTATTCTTATCCTCTTTGCATTTCTCTTGCTGCCAAAGCCCATCAGTGGAGATAAAGTTGGTGATGATGTCTTCCTGCCAACCCTTGGGATGTTGGGACTCTTGGCAGGATGGAGAACTGTCCACACACCAGTATCCAGACTGTTCGTGCCAGACAAGTCCATTTCCTTTGCCATTGGCTTTGAGTATATGGGAGGTGGAATCTTTGCCTTTGAAATGAGATCAGTGTTATCTGGAGAATATAAAGATGTGATGACAGATTTCTCATATTGTTCACGGTTGTATGAAGGAACCACTTCCAAGATGATATTTGGAGATTTCATTGCTTGACGGAAGAGATCTTGTGCTCTGAGGAGCAGAGGAACAGATACAGAGAAAATGTTTCAAGATCTGAAAATATCATGCTTTTCACTGTAAACACAGAAATACTGGAAATTACGTAGTGGAAAGGCTTTTAAAACTATCTTATTTATTTTTGGCAAGTGTGTCACAGTACTCTTGGAAAAGTTGGTTTATCTTATTAATATTCATTATTTTTATAGCCATTTAGCTCAAAATTCTTATAGTACATATTATTCACTTTTCTGAACAGTTGTTTCATAAAAAAAACTAGCAGTGAAGGAGACAAGCTTATTTATTGCAGTCAAGTGAGATCCATAATTAAGCATAGTTTTCAATTTAGAACTTCAATCTTTCAAGACTCATGGCATAGACCTCATTCCACAAAGTACTCCAGGAGTGTGTATATTTTAGTGCTTGTTTACTTTTGTTAAAAATCAGCTTAGCACAGAACAGAAAAAGATGGCTCCTTCTATTACAAGATCTACTCTCTAACAACAACAGTAAAGTGTGCATTATCAGAGCCATAATCCTAGAACATGTGACACAGATACAAAACCTAGCATGGAGACTAACAGAATCTTAGGCTCTTACAATTTCTGGATGTTCCTGATGTTTGTTCATTCATTTCAATGGACTTCTGCACTACTGTTTTCAGTCTGTATATGGAATACCTTCCTATCCATCATTCTGTTTTGGAGTTGATATAGTCTGATGTCAAGGCTACCAATTAAGTGGACTGAGCCTTTTTATTTTAATACTCTAGAGCAGTGGTTGTCAACCTGGGCTCCCCAGATGTTTTTGGCCTACAACTCCCAGAAATCCCAGCCAGTTTACCAGCTGTTAGGATTTCTGAGAGTTGAAGGCCAAAAACATCTGGGGACCCCAGGTTGAGAACCACTGCTCTAGAGCAAGGCTTCTCAATCTGTGCTCCATGGAGCCTAGAGGCTCCAGAAGTGATAGTGAGAGGCATCACATTGCCATGCTGCTTCCCACCTCCTCTTCTTTCCTCCTCCTGAGAAATGCAGAAAATTTTTAATTTGCTGCAAACCCCCTCCCCTCCCCCCATTTTCTTTGCTTACAAAATCCTATTTCCCTCAAACCTCTAAGGAGGTCCTTTAGCTGTGTGTGTTTTTCTGCACGGCAAAGGAGGAATGGACTAGATGGATTCTGGAGTTTCTGCTATTGTTGTTGTTGTTGTTCTTAATACAAAGGCTGGGTGGCCATCTGTTGGGTTGTGCTTTGATTGTGCTTTTCCTGCATGGCTGAAAGGGGTTGGGCTGGATGGCCTCTATGGTCTTCCACCTAAATACTGTTAAGTTCATGATGGATAAAACTGTTCTTCATTTTAAAAAATTGTACTGATCTTTTCTTTTCTGTTGTGCTGTGTGAATTAGTTGACACAAACATACTCTATCCATCTAACACAGGCCTGGCCCATGCCTGATATAAACATTTCTTGGGCCTCCATGAGAAATTCTGCTTCAAAAAGGACTCCGCGGCTGAAAAAGTTTGAGAACCCCTTTTCTAGAGATACCCCACCTCATAGGCATGGAATGGTCAAAGAGTGTATAGTAGCATGGTTGACAATAGCCATGGTTTTACTAAAAAAAGGAAGGTTCAGTGTCTCCAGTTCTGACAATTAATGTTGCTTAAAGACTTCAATTCATTGAACTAAGATCTGGGACTTATCTACACCTATCAAATATTCCGGGGACAGTCTGGAACAACTATGGGTCCACACAACCCCTCCTTCTCTCTGAATGTAAAGATGCAGTTTCTGATATCAACAAAGGCACTCAGCAATGACCAGGACATCACCCAGAACTCTACATCTTTCTGCTGCAGTAATAAGTGTGACATAGGCCTGGTCATTTCCTCATTCCCTGCATTGATGAGTGCAGGGAAAAGGGTAGCAGCACAGGCTCAAGTGCAGGGAGAAACTCTGTGCAGTCCACACTCTGTCTGAAGTGTGGGGCAAAACTCCAAAGCACTCTACAACTTTCTTTAACGTGGGGCTAAACCATAAATCCTGATTTACCCTCACATAAAAGACCAGAAGTCCATGTATTATGATGCTGGGGAAAATGGAAGGAAAAAGAGGCCAACCAAGGCAAGATGGATATATGTTATTCTTGAAGTGACTGGCTTGACCTTAAAGGAGCTGGGGGTGGAGCTCTGAAGTGGGCTGGTCCATGAAGTCACAAAGAGACAGAAATGACTGAATGAATAAACAACAGCAAAACCATGGACATCATCTGCACATTCAGGACCAACTTCAAGTTTTAGGGCTAGTGTTGACAAAATCCTATTCTATAATACGGAAAAATATGGGAAAATTGAGGCTTTCACAAGTGCACAATGTGGCAGGTAATCTCTAAGTCATAGTGTAAATTATCTTTTAGTATGGGAAAGTATTATATATTTCCCAGTTCACTTATGTACCTAAACCATTTGTACATGTTCAAGTCTGCAGTCTAATATATGACTGGAACACATATAATTCCAGTATTTACTCGTATAAGGTAGATATCAATTGCAGCACTGCACAATTTCTTTCTTGACATAAGCACACTACACACTCAAATGGATCACACATTAGACCTGCTAAAATGCCCAATCAAGCACTTATGCCCAACCTTCCACCTCAATTTATCTATGTAAATCCAATGAAAAACTGTGAGCCACAACTGTAGACTTAATAGGATCACTAGTCAAATATTCTCTCAATTCTTCTGTGTGGAGTAATTAAATTTATGATCTAAAAAGAAAAAAATAACTATCTCATATCCTAACCCATTTAGAACATAATATTAATTTTCAAGATATAATATTCCCTTTCTAAACCACCAACCAGAACAAATAAAAAACTGATTACTATAGTTCAACTTAAAACTGAAATGTCATTTATATTTTACAAAATAAAAAGTTTGGGACCTGTTCTAATGTCCAAGAGGGGAAAATGAGATTTCACTTCCACTTTGTGAAAGTATTTCAGCTGGATGATAGTCATCCCTACAAATTCTTCTTGACTAAATCTGGATGCGAATAAAATGAGTAATACGAAAGTCAGAAAAAGTTTTGATTTTTATATGCTTCATATGTGTCATCTTATTTATTTTATTAAATTTGGAAACGATTCAATCAATAAGAATATATGAGCAATGGACAATACAAATCCAATATAATACAAAAATGAGATTAAAATATCAACCTTAAGAACAGTGGTAAACACCTATGGCTGGGTCACAGATCAGGGAAAGCTGGATTGAAATAAAATGTTTTGAGCAAGTGACCAAAATTCAAATGCCTTAGAAAAGGCAAAGAATGTCTCTTGCTTTTATTTTTCTGATCGCACTGAATTTTATTTTGAGATTAAATTAAAAGTACAGATCACTGATTGCATTTCTTAGATGAAAATGTCTCTTTCAGATGGTGCAAACAATCCATATTTTAAAATAGTTACTTTTCAAAAAAGTGCCACTCAAATATTTGAAACAACCATTTTCTAGTCAAAGATGTGTAAAACCCATTTAAGTAAATGCAACATCCTGAATCATGGCACCAATATATTACAGAGAAGAAAAATCATTTCTGAAAAATATGAAAAACAAGATAAATCTATGCTCTAAAATGAAATGCAAGTAATGGATTTATGAACTGAAACACACAAAATTCTCCAAAACACATTCCTAATTTTGAGGGTTACATATAGTAAGCTCTGTTTGCTCTCGTAGTTTAAAAAGAATAAGTCATTTATAGTTTCTAAAGTCAGAATTTACTGTGATGTTTAATTTGTATGCAATACAGTAAAATGTTTCACTTGTACAAATGTGGTTTTATCCGAACTGCATATATTCCTAGAATACCAGAAATCAAGCAAACTCACTGTGCAAAGGTTTTATCTGCAAGTTCAATGCTGTTAATTTTCACAATACACTCATTTTCATGGAAAAGTGCTTCCCGTTTAGATCGGCTGTTCTCCTCAATGCCACGGATAAAGAGCCCTAGGATCCTGCAGGAGAAATACAAAATAAGTTAATTAGTATTACCTTTAAAATATGTATAAACTGGATCTAGATTAGCTGGCAAGTTTTATCCATTTCTCCCTCCCCGCACAGCTTATTGTGCCCACAAATCCCTTTTCTCCATTCAAAAAGTGGGATTCTGTACAATATCGAAATACTGCCATTACAGACATGGGATCCAATCAAATGTTCTTTACAGCACTATCCTAGATATGTTTAGCTTGGAGAAGGGAAAGCTAGGAGGGGATGTGATAATCATGTTTAAATATTTGAAAGGATGTCATAAAATAAGGAGGATCCAAGCTTGTTTTGTGCTGCTCTAGAGGCCAAGACACAGAGCAATTAATTCAAATTTCAGGGGAAAAAATCCCACCAAAACATTAAAAAGAATTTCCAATAGAACAGTGTCACAACTTTAAATACCTGGTTATACACTTCTCATATAATGGTAACTGGAGGAGGCATATAGAGGCAACCAAACTATCCACCTGGAGGTCAGCAAAATCAATTCTAGCCTTTCGGAAAACAAAAGGGGGGGGGGGTTCCTTGGTATGTTTCACGATTAAGAAATATGGAGACAGGGTAAGACAAAGCAGATTGAATGTTTCCAGAATAAGTCTGTAAGAGCTCTTTTAGCCCTTCCTCCAAGACACCATCTGCCTTGTTAAGGCTTGAATTGGATCTTCCCTTACTTAAGGCCAAAATGCATAAACTTAAGATTTCATATGGGAAGAGACTTCTGGAAATGGAAGATGAGAGTATAACAAAGCAATGCCCGATAGAGCAATATAAGTAGGGAGGTTGGGCTCAATACTAGTTAGCTCTGCTCCACCAGTATTTTGATGGGTCAACAACAACCCTAATGCAGTTGAACAAGGCGGCAATTAGAGACAAAATTTTGACAACTTGCGGACTAGTCAACAGCAGGGTTTCACCACTTGGTATCTAGAGTGTCCAATATTGTCAACAAGATCTTCAAGACTTGACTGTAGCCCTTAGAAAAAGCATTTACAGTCATGAACTTCCAAACGCCATTAGGCTGGCTAGAGGGAGGATATAGAGGGACCCCTCATGCCCAATGACTTTATATTTGTGGGTCCAGGGAAAGGGGGGATTTAATACACTTTCTGTTACATTGCCCCTTGTATAATGACCCTCGAAACAATCTTCTGGGAGCCCTTTTGGAAGAAAGGGCAGCGTAGCAACAGTTAGCAGTTATCTGTGACTTATTAGCAGAGTATTCCAAAAATATAACATTAAAGGTTACCACATTTGCAGTCACAGCCCAAAAAATCTGAGCTGAATTAGTAAAGCCCACAGCAGAGGCTAGAAATGGAAATAGGGATAGTTTGGGATGATACAAATCAGACATTTGTTATTGTTATTGTGTCTGCTACTATAATTTTAAAGAGTCAGTATATGGAATAAGTTTTAATATTTATATTGGAAAGTTATTATTGTACTTTTAAAGGTTGTATGTTATGTGGTGTCATGGCCTATGGCTGGTAAAATAAATAATTCATTCATTCCTAATGGCCAGAGATGTTGAGCACTAGAATATATTTCTGCCTCACAAGGCGGTGAAGTCTCCTTCTCTGGAGAGACTGGGTGGGCATCTCTAAGGAGTGCTTTGATTGGACTGGATTGCTCTTCAATTCAGTGAATCTCAATTTATCATTCACTCTAGCAGATAGCATGCCAGAACTGCATTCACACTTCTTCTGAATTATAACTGTCTTTGTTATTTATGTATCCAGTACACATAAGAAATACTATAAACAGGAAGAAAGTTTTCCCATAGAATTCCTAGGCAGACAGACAGACAAGCACACATGCACAACTTTACTTTTAAAAACATTTCCCGGACATTTTTAGTGTTTCTCTCCTATTAATATTCTTCTGAACAATAGACTATATAGTATGGGATTGAGTCAGAATATATTTGAGGGTTTGTTTGGGTTTTGGTTTTGTATTTTTTTGTAACATTGATTCAGAAAATTGCATTGGATATGCTAGTTTTTTTAGATATGGTCATTGTGCTTTTTTATGGATGAGCAGATGAAGATTAGTATATGGCATATGTTCTGTATCTCAAACACTAGAGCTGATAGGGGGACACTGGTGCCAGTTTTGGAATCAGCAGGTCAAATATACACAAAAACAGGTATCACATTTAAGGCACTAATATGTATGATGGCCAGTGTAATATATAATTCTTTTTAAATGTTTGTAAATGTTTAACTTAATCTTTTTTAAATTATTGCAAGCTACTTTGAATTCCATCTTGAGAAATAGCAAGACAGCCATTCAATAAATAAATAGATAATACAATTTTCATTGTTCCAAAAAAATATTTCTAAAGAGGAAACATAGATCTTACAGACATCCAAATAGACACAAAATCTTTCTCAGTCCGCTTATATTTCTTAAAATCTGAGGGAATAGATACAATTTAAACAAGCTAAAATTGAGTAAGTTTGAATAAAACAAAATTGTAACATAGAGATAGTATACAATATAAGACAAATAACAAAGATACTACATTATTCCCAAGTTTTTTTCTTATTAAAAAAAAATAAGGAAGTAAGTCCAAGATCTTTCCCCAAAGGTCTGCCTTTCCATAAGAAAATCTTACCTTCCACTTAAGGATGAAAAGTATGGTACCACATGTATTCCTAAAGGGCCACCTTCACCAGATATCTCCACTCTTCTTGTCAAATCACTAAGAAAGAAAAGAGGGAAACATATATGGTTATCTTCAAAGAGACCAAGTAGAAATATGTTTGAAAGCTCTAGTGGATGCATTTACCTCCATGTCCCTTATGGGGTTCTTCCAATCCTAACAATATCGACTAATATTTCCAAAAAACCATCTCACCAACAATCTTCTATGAAATTAAGAACCTATATGGCATGGAATACATAGTACCTTGGTGGACACCCAATGAGGCCCCAAATAGGAAGAATCTATGGACAGCGGAGGAGTGGGATCATACCTTTCAATTCCAGTCTCAATTGCCAAATACTCACAACTTATTTAAATGTAAGCAAATAGAGGTATACCAGCTTGCGTGTGTTCAAGCTCTATTAAGCTCTATTAAGCTCTATTACTGCATTATTCCTACTATGTCATGTATGTGTACCTGTAACCTTATAGATATTTTGAACTACATATACCACAATCTCTCACCTTGAGCTATTCTATGACTGAAAGGAGTTTTAAGAGAGAAAAAATCTGGAGGGCCAAATCTGCCCAACTCCAATATATGACATTTGGTAGTGCTAAAGGCGCCAAAGACATAACCAAATTGCACAGTATGTTCTGGCTCAGATGCAGCTACATCTTAGAATCTCTCTACCCTTGACAGATGGCACAATGGAGATTAGAAACATCCACTACATGTTGGACAGAATAAAGGATAAAATGTGTCTAATATAAACCATGGTTTATTCAAAAGACAAGATCATGAACCAAAGTTGGATCTATGCAAATTCAATAAAAGACATGCCAACGTATCAGAGAGGGATAGCTTTGGAACCTGAGTTTCAAGCAGCCAGAGTTGTATAACGTAAAACTTGAAACTGTGGTTTAGAGTTACATCTGAACCAGGCCTGTAAGTGGGTTACATAATAGATATAGTTTCTAAAAAGAAAGCAGAGGGATACACTAGTATCTGTGCCATGGAACCAGAGCCAAAAAAATACACTGAAACAAGGCTCAGCCAGTAATACCATTGTTGCTCAGACAACCTCTCAGCCAAAATAAAGAATATTTAATAGCTCTTTCATCCTGAGAGGCCTAATGATTAGTCTGGGTGACAAGGTCAGGGCAGAACCAAAAAACACTGGCCATGAAGATGATTCAGTCAGTAACTTTGGTAGCTCACCAGTCACCCAACAGAGCAGTACTGCACTGATAGCTTTGATGATTCATTAGAAATATTTTCCTATCTGAATGAGTTGGAGTTCAATACAGACTTTCTCTCTGTAACTGCAGCATTTTATTTATTATACTGCTGAACTCTTCGACACAACTCACTGATGATATATCTGAATGGACTATAAGTGTAGAATTAAAAACAGGCCCTGAGCGGAGCACTCACAAATCATTTCAACACATCCAAATTCAATCTGCACAAGAAATGACACCAAGAAAGAAGTGGGAATCCTGAATGGACCCGTGAGTCAACTCTCCCCTGTGTGCAAATCAAAAACCATGGAATTCTATCCACCAAGATCATGGAACTAGAAAGAGTAATAATGAAAGAAGATGATTCAGAAAGCAATGGCTAAAAAGAATCTTAAGAAGAAAATGGTGGTGTATTTCAAGATGTTGAAAAATGTGTTTTTAAAAGCCTAATGTATTTTGGCTTGTATGTATTCTCACTGAATTTCACCTAGGGCTCTGTAAAATTCTAAAAAGAGACAACACATAAATATAAATAATGAAATAGCACATACAATTACAATGAATTAAATCATTATAGGATCTGTGCACTGACTATGGTACTTAAAATGAGGCCTCAGAATTTTTTGCACTTCAAACTCACACACCATTTGCTGGGGTGGGGTGGGGGGCGGAGGAGAGAAACATGTAAACTAAGGCTAAAAGATTCTTACCTCAGCAGATGGCCGGGAAAAAAGGGTTGTTAAATAACATTCAAAGACACTTCAATATAACTAGTCTCAAGGAAATAAAATAAAATAACCTTTGGCCTTTGTTCATATGTTCTTCTTGTCTAGTATATAGTGTAGGAATTTGAGCTGCAGTATTTTCTGTGGTTAAACTGCAAATAAATTTTTCCCAGGCTACATTTTACCATATATAGTCCCTGAAGAAGTCCATTCAGAGTATATACCTATCAAAACAGGTTTGGCTTTTCTACAATAAAACATTCATTAATTGAGCACTTTGAGATGTGTCTCCAGTTTTTTTCTGATTTTCCTCGGTTTTTAATTTCTCTCCAAAAACTAAAAATGCCTGCTCCCATCATTTGCTGGTTTTGAAATGTCTTCACATTATGTTAAAACTGCAGCTCACAGAAGTCTGTGCCAGAAGGCACAATACTCGTGGATTTGGGACCTTGTAGTACAACAATATCTGGGAACATCAGGAATACTACTTCTGTGAAGCACACAAAATCTGTAACAGCACACAATAAAGTTAACTGATATATATTGTAAATTACTCAGTATCAGGCATTTGGGGGGAGGATATCAAAGGGAACAGAAAGAAAAACATGGGACATGTGTGTGTGTGTGTGTGTGTGTGTGTGTGTGTGTGTGTAAAATGGTTGGATACTTCTTCCAATCATGGGCAGGACAAGACTTGGCCTGATTCTATATTAACAGTATAAATGATAAAAGGATGTCTAATACAAAAAAGAAACTAAACCCAGATGGGGTTTCCATGGAGTTGGAGTAATTTCATAACGCCACAATTTTCCCAAATGAATCCAAGCTGGACTTGTTTTGAGACAGACTTCATGGCAATCTTTTCACTAAACAAACTACAGACATGTGGATGAAGCTGGGCTGAAGCTGAGTTTGGCCACATAAAATTACACAGTTTCATCCAAGAGCAACTTTTAAAAAAGTTTTTCTTTATCTTGACAAGTTTTAGGAGGTTCACATTTAAGACATTCAATTTCCAGGAGGAGGAGGAGGAGGAGGAGGAGGAGGCAGCGGCAGAGGCAGCAGGTTCCCTTCTGACACTCATGCTTGTTTTACCAACAACACATGTTAATGTACACTTTTATTCTCTCTGTGGTTTAGGACAGTATCACACTGTCACACTAGATTAAATGATTGTTCAAGGCCCACCATTCACAAAATGGTATAGAGGAGTGGAGTCAGTCACAAAATGGTATCAGAGTTTGGCATGATTAGATGACATTGACATATTGCTACATTGATTAGCTAAGTGCTCTCTGAAAATTCCTGGAACGTAAAAAATGTACACAGGGTCTCCAGTTCCCAACGTTTCTGTCCAGTTGACACCAGATTGCTATTCTAAGGGGAAGGAGATTGCCAGCACTGCAAACAGAAGACTTGGTGGTGGTCTAGAGTACTTCTTTTTCTTTTCTTTTTCTCTCCCTCAGACTTTCTGTCCTTTTACTTTATCACCTTTAGGGGCAAAGCCACTTCAAGTGAGTCATGTTACAAAATAAACTTTGAAACACAAGAATATGATTAATAATCTACCTTCTACCATCCATCTTCCCATTCTCTTATATCATTCCCTCATATTCACCAAACATTATATTACTCATTTCTTCTTTTTCCCTTCTTTCTTTTCTCAATTACTGCATGCTACAGACTTATTCTTTAACCATTTTCCACACACACATTCATACACAATACTCACACAGAACACATGGTCAAAATTAAAACACAAAAGGAGTATGTGCTTTTATGTGTTTGACCTTTTATTGGTCAACCAAAACGTATAATTCAAGTTTTTCAATCTCCACTGGCTTCTTCGTAAAGGAAAATATGTTTTTTAAAAAACATACATGGAAATTACAGGCCTACATTTTGTACCAGATGTCTCTATTGTAATTGCTGGTACAGAGGGATCTCAATACAGAAAAAAAACTATTTCATTTTAAGTGCTGCACAGGTAGTCCGACAATTCACCATCATAGGCGATATCTCGTGGCCGAGTATTATGGTCTTCCAAAGTAGAGTCTTGGCGGTGGGTCCATAAGTTAATGTAGAGACCTATTCTAATCCGAATAGTCTCTCACAATAAGGACATACATTTCCATATGATCACAACAAGGGTTTACTTGACTTGCCTTTTTCTTTGCACATTTCTCCCTTTCGCCCTTTATTGTGTCTCTTCAAAATTCATAGCACTGTTGGTAACAGCTAACCACCAGTTAGGACGCTTGAGGGCCACGGCTTCTCAATTCTCTGTTTTTCGGTTAACTTTAAGTCCATCTTTAAATATCTTTCGTTGACAACCAACAGTCCATTTTCCATTTTTGAGGTGAGATTTAAGTAAGCAGTCTGGGAGATGGACAACATGGACAGTCCTCTCTACTTTAATGCTATAGTCCAAAAGAAAGCTGCTCCTTTTGGAGATAGAAATTACCAAGAGTTAATACCAGATCTACTTCAACCAGAAAAGTCAGTCATAGCAGAGCACCTGATGAACCAACCTGGACACAACATATTAATTTAGAACACAGAAATGCTGGACCACTCTCACAACCACCATGTCAGACTACACAGAGAAGCCATAGAAATCCACAAGCATGTGGACAATTTCAACAGAAAGAAAGAAAAAATGAAAATGAACAAAATCTGGCTACCAATGCTTTTTAAAAATCTAAAATTATAACAGTAAATAAAAAACAAAACTCAAACACAGGGGAACTCCAGCCAGAAAACAATCAGGAACACCTGGTCACCTCTCAACAAGGAAATTTCCCAGGCAGTAACAAACCCCACCTAAAAACCTTCAGGTCATCAAATGCTAATCAAGGTGGCCAATTGAAACATTTACACCTACCTCCAACAGACAAGGGTTCTCTCTCCCACAGATGTAATATATAAGAGTTCTCTTTCTCCACAGATATAATAAACCCAATTTTCCAAAGTACAATAGTCTCAGCTTAACCATCATAGTTTCATCAGAGGTCAGATTTGATTTGCTCTAAATCTAAACCAACAAACCTCACAACCTCTGAAGATGCTTGCCACAGATGCAGGTGA